GTCCGCTGCAGCACCTGTGGTGGCGAAGTCACATCAGATGTGCACACCATGTACTCATCGCGGCCATCCTGTCCAGTTCGCTTGAATAAAGCCCCCACAGACGTGAACGTCTGAAAAAGCTTGGCAGGAACAGGTTCCACGATGCCCAGCGAATCAGCGGGCCCTCTGTTCACGCCGGCCAAGAACACTTCGGGGATCGATTCCGCCGCCTGCCGCACTGACATCAGCGTTGTCGCTTCGTCATAGCGAACTGACTCCACGAGCACTAACGGCAGGACGTCCACAGGCGTGCTGCGCAGACGTGCCTGGCGAAAGACATTGCTCTGTGAGCGCATGGTATTTGGCCACCTTCTTGGCAGTTTGCTCGGAAAAGGAAAGAGCTGAAAACGGTGAGAAGGGGGGAGCGGGAGAGAGGAACGGGGTCCGCGGGTCTGGGTTTGTGGGCGGCGGGGTGGAAGAAGGAACAGGATGAGGGAAAGAAAAAGAATTGTCGGGAGTTTTCATTGGAGGCGGCCCGACGACCATTAGCTCAGCGAGCGAATGCCTTTCGAAGGCGTCAGCTGCGGCAGCGAGGCGCCGCTCCAGGTCCTTCAGCGGATCTGTGCCGACCAAGGCTGCTCGCGCAGCTCGCGGCATGGCCGCCCAAGACGGCAAGGTGCCCCAGAAACGCTGCGTCGCATTCAAAACGGCAGGGGCCAAACCGACACCGCTGGCAGCGACGGCCGCGACCGCGTGGCCAAGTGAGATGCGCTCCGCCTGCGTCACTGCAGCCAGCTCCAACTGACGGGGCGCGAGCGCAGCCTCCAGAACTGCGGTGGCCCCCGCAGGCGCCACCGCCATCGGCACCACCTCGCCTCGGCGGGCTTCAAGCGCAGCTGCGGCAGCGATGCTCGGATCGTCGGCATCTCGGGCCCTCGCGTCCAGCGAGGCAGCCTCCGCGAGCCGATCCAACAGGGATGGGCGGCCGCGCTTCCTCCGAGGAGGCGCCCCCGCCATCCTCCTCCAAACTTGTTTGGAACACAACGGGTTGAACCGACATTAGTTTGAGCCAAAATGGTGACGGAAAGGTAACGGTGGTACGAGTTCGTCTTGGAACAACCTTCAGTAACGGATGCACCTTCGCGGAATTGGTTTGGCATGTTGGGATGTCTCGAGCGAGAGATTTGGCGGCGCTGTCGACCGAAGTGCATGTAATCTGCCTGCCGTGTGTAATGATACATACCGTGTGTAATAAGACAAAAAGTGTGTGATTATACATACCTGCCATGTAATCCGCCTACCTACTGAAATGTTGCGATTTGCCTACCGTGTGTAATAATACATAAATCATGTGTGCACGCATGCCTCCTCCAAAATGCCTCCAAGATGGCTCAAAGACAAACCGCGAGCGGCTTAGAGGGCTCCCGTGCGAACCCTAATCTCTTAACTTCGGCGGCCCCCACCAAGAGAGATACTCAAATATTATGATCCACAACGCCATAACACACATTGGTGCACAACGGAATTCCAAGAATTACGTCACGTGCACAAGGGAAGAGGCGAGAGCGAAAACGAGGACAAGTTTTTTTTTGGGGCGCACCTCCAAAGGTATATCTTTTGAAAAATCTCAAGACGGGGTTCCGGGTATATCTTTGGGATATCTTTTATTATTTCTGGTGATCTCCTCCTGGAGGGAGCTCGCCGACCATAACCCTAACCCCTCCCCCCCCCCCTCCGGATCTGGAAAACCGGGGGGGGCACTATCGAGCCCCCCCCCTCCGGATCTGGAAAACCGGGGGGGGTCACTACCGGTTCGACCCCCCCCCCCCCTCGAAAACCCGAGGGAGGTCACTACCGGTTCGACCCCCCCCTCCCCACACGCACCGCCAGCAAACGACTCCCGGTCCCTACCACCGTCCGCATCACATCCCCCACTGTTGTTCCCAGCGCCACTGTCCTCACCACCACTGTCCCCACTGGTTCCACCACCGTCCCTACTGTCCCCACCAGTGCCCCCACCACTGTCGCACTGTCCCCACTGTCCCCTCCACTGTTCCCACCACGGTTCCACTCTCCCCACTGTCTCCACGGCCCCAACCACTGCCCGACTATCCCCACTGTCCCCACTGTCCCACTGACTCCTCCGCTGTCCCACTGAGCTGTCCCACTGTTCCCACCACTGTCCCCACTGTCCCCACCACTGTCCCCACTGTACCTCTGTCCCATTGTCCCACCGCCGTCCTCGCCACCGCCTTCACCACTGTCCCCACCACCATTGTACCCTCCACTGTCCCACTGTTTCCACCTCATTCCCACTGTCCCCACACCACTGTCCCCACCACCACCGTCCCCACCACTGTCCACTGTCCCCCCTGTTCCCACCATTGTCCCCACCATTGTCCCCACCACTACCGTCCCCACCACTGTCCCACTGTCCCCACCAGTGTCCCGCTGTCCCCTCACCACTGTCCCCACCAACACCGTCCCCACCACTGTCCGCACCCCCATTCGGTTTTCGAGGGGGGGGGGGAGGGGTGCGGTTCGAACCGGTAGTGACCCCCCCCCGTTTTCGAGGGGGGGGGGGGTCGAACCGGTACCCCCCCCCCCTGATGAACTGAGGGGGGGAGCGGTTTTCCCCGCGGTCGCTCTGATCCCGGGGTCGAAGCTCGGGGTCCTCGAGTCCAACAGCGCGGCTTTGAGCACCGCCCTGTGCTCCTGCAGGAGCGCTCCCGCGGTGCTCTGTCGGCAGAGACAGGCTGGCGGTGTCTGGCAAGGGGGTGCCAGCTTCGGCCCCTGGCCAGCCGTCGTTACTCTCGCCCACACCCCAGGGCAGGTGTGCCGTCGCTGGGCGATGGTTGGTGGCCCCGTGTTGAAAAACTGCCCCAGGGCGCCTAACCCATGCAACGCCTGGACGTTTGGGGAAACACCTTCAGCCCAATGCAGGCGCAGCTTGTGGGCGGGATTTCACACACGCCCTGTCCCCACCACCAGGCAGTGGAGGCGGTCGGGTCTTCGGGCCTTCCTCGACTGTCACGGGGATGGGGTTCCTGGCTACGCCCAGGCCAGCCCGCTGGGTCTTTTTGCGGTGGGGCAGTTTTGTCGTCGGGCGGTGGCGCCAGCCATGGTCAGCTAAGGTGCCCCCCCCCCCCCGTGGGTCTTCAAACGGGCATGTGGATCAGGGCCGCCGCGCGTGTCTGTTCCCTAGGAGAGCGCAGCGGCGCGAGCGGCAGCGGCTGGCTCGCGAGGCTGGCGTATTGGAGTTTTGTTGGTTCATGTTGGGCACATCGCGTGGTTCGGCATTTCAGCCGCCATGTCTGGCTTTGATTTCTGCCCTTGCTCGGGCTGGTCGCTGGCGCGTGTCGGCTCCACTCCAGCTGTATGTAGCACGGAGGGTTAGTCTCCTGGTTATCCCTCAAGCCGGCGCGGGATCCCATCTTTTCCAGGGGAGTGGCGACGGTTCCTTCGGCTTGGCCATCATTAGCAGGGTTCTTCGGGGTTCGGGATTGGCCCTGCTGCCCCGCTCCTTCTCCTCAGCCTCCTCCCCTTACAAGTATTCTTTATCATCTTACGCAACTTCTGTTTGAAGTCTTGGGCTTGGGTGTGGGTCGTTTGGGTCTCCCGGCCGCAGACCTGGCCTTTCCCCCCCTGGCCCCTGCAGCAGGGGGCCCCTGCAGCATGGGCCAGGTGGGTGCGCAAGTGGTGCATCAGTGGAACGGGTCTGGTGGGTCGCGCGTGGTGCTCGGTGTCGTCCGCACCCCCTCCCTTTCATTCTGGGCGCGCGGGGGGGAGGGCATGTTCCGTGGCGGGAACGAGGCGGGCCCGGGCGGAAACCTTCACCCTGTCCCGTCCTTCTCGGGTTCCCTTGAAGGTGCTGGGATGGCTGGTGTGCCTGAATGGTTCAAGTTGCCCTTGCGCCACCGCTGCGCCAGCCGCCTGCCTTGCACTTCCGCCATTTTCCAGTGGCTGCCTCGCCCTGCTGCCCTCCGCCTTCCACTTCCCTCCCCCGCTCCCTCCCCCTTTCCCCTCCCCCGATCCCTTTCCCCCGTTGTTTCTCCCCCTATTGTTTACTTTTGTGTGCCTCCTGCGGGAGCGGCGGGCCTCCCTTTTCTGCTTGTCCCTGGGACGACCACGGTTTCTTTGACGCGGGCCTCGGGGAAGGCCAGACGCGCCCGCCAGACGCCAGACGCAGTGCGGATATCCAGCGGATGACAATAGCGACGATGGGGGTCGGGCAAACGGAGGGGAAAAGAGGGGGACGGGTCAGGGGTGGGTCGTCGCGTCGTCGGTGGTCCTGGGCGTCGCGTCGTTTTCGCGGGTTCTGCTGTTGCCGTGGCCGAAATCTTGGTCCTCGTCGCGGATCCGCCGCCAAAGTCGTGGCCAGTTGGGCAGGCTCAGTGGTAATCCTGGGGGGCCTCTCTGGCCGTTTTCGGGGCCTCTTGGCCTCTGGCCTCTTGGCCAGGAGGGCCCAAGACTCTTGGTCCCTCCTGGCCCGGCTGGCGGCCCTTTTTGCCGCCGGAAAAGCTAAGCGGCAACGCGCGACAGACCCCTTCGGATCGCTTGTGGCTTCCAGGGTAGAGAACTCGATGGGACTTGTAAACGTCCAACTTAGTGCCTGTAGGCAAGATGGCCTATCTACAAGTGCGTTCATGTTGGGTTTATGCGCGCATTTACGTATACATTGCAGACATGTGAACATGTGTACAGTTGGGCGTATTTTATAAATATGTATGTGTATAGATGTATATATACATATATGTATATATACATGTGTGTGTGTGTGTGTGTGTTACCCCCCCCCCCAGGGGTACACCGTTCTATATGTCGGCGTCCAAGCGAAGCGATGATGTGATGTTGTGTTCCTGTCAATGTGCTGGCTGTCTGCTAAAATAAGCAATGCGAGCACCCCCATTTGAACTGCAAGGCTCCAGGCGCAGCACACGCGGCGGAGAGTGCCCATTGCAGACCCCCGACGTAGTGCAGACGTAGTACCCCAGTCTACGCCTAATTTCTGCCGCGGCCGATCACGCAGTCAGCTGGTCGCGCATGATGTGCTGCACCATATCCCCCGTCTTGGCCCACATGTCGTCGTCCTTGTGCCAGTAGCCGCACTGGACCGAGCGGCCCTTGGTGGCAAGCAGGTTGGTTCCTGCCTTGGCGTTGGCGTTCCTGTGGATGCGGTTTTTGATGAAACGCCACGTACGGTTAATGAATTGCGCGCCGCTCTTGACCTTCAAGTGCTTGCCCGACGGGAGCACGTGCGTCGTCAGCCCGACGTATTTGGGAGGAATGAGCACCCTCTTTGCCGCCGACGGTATTGTACTTCTTCACGAAGTCGTGAATGACCCCAGGCGCATTCAATTTGCAAGAGCGCGCCGGGCCAGTGTGAAAAATGGCACTGCGGTCTTTCAGCAGCCAGCGCTCCGCAAGGGGCTCCACTCTACCATACGCGCGGCCCCAGGGCCAGGAGCACGCTTCCCCGCCATCTCAGGGCTGTGCCTCGCAAGGGTCAGCGCGCGCGGCCTACCGCGCTGCGCAATGCCCAACCACTGCTCCCACATGGCGGGGCGCGACGGGTCTTCCAAAGGTTCGGGGCCGCCAGTCAAGTCCAACTTGTCGAACGTCGCCTCGTCGGCTTCCACGTCGGCCCATGCCTTCGTCTTACGGTATTCAATGGTCGGCTCCACGTCCTCCACGTGCATCCTCCGAGCCTGCCAAACGTTGCTCCAAATCCGCTTCGCCGCTTTGTGGTCTACGTCGGAGAGGACGTGGGTGTTCGCGTGGAAAACCCCGCGAGCTTCGCCAGTAGGGCCACGGCCTGCTTCTGCAAGCTCTCGGACGCCGAGTGCTCGCTGAAGATTGGGTTCTGGCGGGCAGGGGGCTCGTGCTTCTGGCAGCCCTTCGCGTTGCAGCGGTGCAAGAGGCGATCGCCCTTGCGCGGGCGAGCTGCTAACTAATCGAACTTGCCGCGCCCGCAGAAAAGACAGGGCGCCCCAGTCCAATCGACGAGCAGCTTGTCGTCCAGCAAGATGTTCACGATCTCCACGTCAGACGCCGCCAAGAGCTCTGGGACCGCGCGCTTGCACGTTGCTTGCTCGCGGCGCAAGCCCCCGCCAGGCGTCGCGTTCTTCGCCCTGACGTACGGCGCGTTCTTCCAGTCCTTGGCCTTGGTGGCAGATGGGCGCCTGAGCACCGTCCGAAGCTTGCCCTTTTCTGGGGCGACGCCCGAACGTCCTCCGACAGCAGCGGCGGGGCGACGGTGGACGGCCATCCCTGGCTCCTGGCGCGATAGCACGGGCGGGGCAGCGCGCGCGAGGCGCGGGGACTTGCGGCTCCGGCTGCCGATTCGGCTTAGAGGCGGCTGCGGCGATGGCGAAAATGCGCGCGACGACCTTGAGCATCGAGTCTAAACGACAAGGAGAAATAATCATGCGCTGCGATGGCGTCGATATCGCGGCAGTGACGCAATCTCCGTGGAACACCGCGTCGGAGCTCTCGGGGCTACGTTTGGCCAGCGGTGGGCCGCAGAGGCAGGGGCGCATGGGTGCCCGCGCGCGCGATGCCCAGTCTTGCAACGTGCGCGGTACGCATGTCAGTTTCCGACGCGTGCATGCGTCTCCGCCAACGGTCTGGGCGCCCCCCAGAAAGCGGTAGCATGCCTTCCCGAGCGAATTCTGCTGCAAAGCGCAGCTAGACTCTGCCGCGCCTGCCCCCCCCCCCCCCCCGCGGCGACGACCCTCGCTCAGTCCGCGCCCGCGTCGATCGCCGCGACGCACGTTGGGGGCCCAGAAGCATTGCGGCCGAATGGAGGCGCGCAGAAGAATCGCCCGCCACAGGTTGCCAGCAAGGGCAGCCGCGACAAACGTGCGATCCCATTGACGCCTCGCCTCGCGAACGCCGCCCGATTTCTCCGCTCCCCGAGCCTGGGGATAGCTTCTGCATCGTCGCCTCGCCCACGGGCGTCGCCGAGAACACCTTCTGATTGTCAGCCTTCTCGGTCGAGCCCGCCGCCCTGCAGGGGCCCTCGGGGCCCCGCGTGATCGGCGCGCGAAGCGCCCGCTCCTGCTCGACGCCGCGCTCCTCCTTCTTGGCAGGCGCGGGCTTCTTCAAAGCGTCGGGCCCATCATTGACCGCGCCCTTCTTCGCGCATTTGAACTCCGCGAGCGAGCTGGCGCCTGCCTGGTGGGGCTCCCAGAGCCATTCGATCCCCCGTGCATGGGGCCCCGCGCGGCAGCTCTTCCGCGCCCTCGCAGTCCTCGCGGTCGCTCCCGAGGCGTTCGCGCAGGAGGCCGCCCGCGAAGAGGTCGGGGGGCGCCGCGCGGGGCCCGCGGGCGCCAGGTTTCGCCCGCTTGGTCGGGGGCCCTCCTCTGGCGCGGCTGGGGCTGACATCGGGGCCGCGGGCGTGCCGCCCCCTGGCGCGGCCGGGGCTGGCATCGGAGCCGCGGGCAAGCCGCGCCCTGGCGCGGCTGGGGCCGGCATCGGGGCCGCGGGCAAGCCGCCCCCCCGGCGCCCGGCGCGGCTGCTGCGCGGCCCCACATGTCCCCCAAGCTCAGCTTGTCGAACGGCTGGGGCTCGGCGGCCGCGGAAACGTCCTCCGCGCCCGAGTCATCGTCGGGCCCCGGCGGGACTTCGCCGTCACCCATGAGCTGTGCCAGCCAGTTCTGCTCCCGCAGCACGCCTTGGTCGTAATCGGCCCCGAACTGGGGGTCGCCCTTTTCCCACAAGCCAATGCGGCGCCTGCCGCCCATGTTGATGAAGTTCGACTCGCCCAAAACAAAGCATGGAACGGGCTCGGCGCCCTCGGAGTCGAGGCGGTGGAGGACGTAGGAATTGCCGTCGGCGTGCGTGAAGTTGACGGTCTCGTCCGAGCGCTTCAGACACGCCATGAGATTGGCTAGAGTCGCCCTTGGGGGGGAAGGTCGTCGACGCGGCGCCCGGGAAGTCCTTGTGCGAGACCGTCGGAGAGCTACCGCTGGTCGGGCGGAGCGCTGCTGGGTTGAACGCGTTGTGCATGATCAAGCGAGGCTGCCCCCGCGCGCATTGCGCGCCCCCCCAGCGGGCCCAGATCATCGACTCGTCACCCCCGGCGTCCGTGAAGGACTTGATCGCCCGAGCGCGCTGCTCGTTCAGCGCCCCGTTGTCGTGCGCCCAGGCGCGGCTCTTCCCCCCTGGCTGGCCGCTCAAGAAGTCGAACTCCGTCGTGCTCTTCAGCGCGGCCACGCGCTCGCCGCCGATCTTGCGCGCCCGCCGCCTGGCGCGGGCCAGGGCGGCTGCGCGACCCGCGAAAGTCTTGCCGATCTCAGGCTCGCCAATCATCGCGAGAGCGTGCATGCCCATCGTCTTGACCATGGATTTGAGGACGCCGACCAGGAAGGGGCGCTTGACATTTCGCAGTGTGGCGGGGCAGACGAGATGCTCTTGGCACAGCACCGCCTCGTTCGCGATGCCCCTCATGATCTCTTTCACGAGCGACTCCTTCCATCCGAAAATGATGCTGCCCTTGGTGTTCAGCTCCTTGGTGATCCGCCGGGTGTGACCCTTATTCTGGATCAGATTGGAGTTCTCATCGATGCAATCGAACCCCTGGTCGGCTTTCGACTCCCATGGGTTATGTTTGCTTGTTTGGGTCGCGGCGGCCGAACGTGAAATGCCTGATCTTCAAGCCAGGGAGGTGCATGAGCAGGTGCTGCAGCGCCTCCGTCCCTGATTTCTCATGGATGCCCTGCGCGATCTTATGCGCCTGGCCAACGCACGTGATCGGGTGGCTGTGGTTGTTGATCTCTCCTTCGCGACGTAGTGTTTGATGATGTACTTCCCGCCGTCGCCCTCCGGCACCGCGAACAGCTGCGTGGCGCAATCGCTCGGGGGCTGCCCCTTTCAAGCGGAAAGGCAAGTGCAGGTCCTTGAATGTCTTGCGACGGACGCGCCCCAAGATAGCGTCTCTGTCGATGTCTTCGCGGTGATCGGACGAGATGTCCGCGAAGTGCACGACCTGCTTCATTGGGCCGCCCGCCTCGGCGTCAACAGGTGTAAACGGGAGATCATCGGCAGGGGTCTGCTTACTACATTTTGCCGCGGGGCACCCCCTGCGCCCCTGGCTATCAAAATGAGCCTGAACATCGGCTGAGCCCAAACAGCTACGATAACGAGGCTGTTGAGAAGGACATCGGCAGCGCAGTTGGTTCGTTTCCTCCTCCGTCGTTTGGCGCTCTGTCCCGCTGCGCCTGCCCTGATCTCTCCCCCTCGTTCTCTCGCTCTGGCTCGCTGCGTTTTGCTGCGGCTCCTCCTCCGTCGTTTGGCGACCTGTCCCGTTGCGCCTGCCCTGCTCTCTCCCCCTAGTTCTCGATCTTGCTCGCTGTGTTGTGCTGTGGCTTCAGTGGCCAGAGTGGAGCTGCTCGGCAGGGCTGCGCGCGTCGCGCGTCAGCCCCAGTCGTTCGCGTGGCCGCGGGGCGGGCCGCGCTTCGCCGAAAGCTTCACTTTCTTGGCCGCCCGAGGCGGCAAGCGGCGCTTCATGTGCACATGGGGGGTCCGCCACCAGCTCCCCCTGGGAACGGTGGCCTTCTCGAGCGCCTCCTCAGCCTCCCCTTGTCTACTTCTCAGCCTTCTCGGTTTTCTGTTTGGCCTTTCCCAGCTCCTTCTCCGCCTTCCCCCAGGACCCCCGCCTTTCGCGCAGCTCCGCCCGCGCGTTCTTGAGAGCGGCCGTTTTCTCCGCGAATCGCTCCCTGAGGCGGTTGTCAACCGCCTCTGCCGCGGCGGCCTTGTGGCTCGCGGCGCGCTTCTCCCTGTAGCGGTGGTTCCAACGGCGGGGGCGCGCGCCCTGCGCGCTCTCCGGGGACCTGTGAGCTGTCGCGCGCGCCTCCCTCAGCAGTTTGACCACTGCTGGCGCGCTGCTCAAGTCCCGCTCTCTCTTCGCGGCCCTGCGCGCCTTGTTGTGGAGCAGCTTCTTCTCGTGAGCCGGGGCCCCTCTCTTTGGGTTTCCCGCGGCGGCGCGAAGCACGGGGCGCGAAACGAGTTAAACTTTGAGGAGCCACTTAAATTTTGAGCCGAAGCGGGTGCGGAGGAGGGGAGGGGAGAGAGGAATGCGCAGGATAAGCGGGATCACTTAGGAACGGGCCCCGTTTGTTTGCGAATTCTCTTCTGTAGCTGCGGTGCTCTCGAGGGCATCCAAAAAATGGATGCCTCCATCGCGCGCCGTTGCCCCCCCCCCCCCCCCCCCATCGCTCGCCCTCGCCTTGCTCGCCCACGCTCAGAGGAAGTGTTGCGAGAACAAGGCAGGCCAGGGCAAACTGTCCGAGGCCAACTTTGAAACCCGCTGCACACCGTGGAGAACGGAGGAATGGGAAGGAGAGGCGGGCGACTAGGAATACGAATAACGTATGGTCGCTCCCCGCCCCAATCGGTGGAGGATGAAGATAACCGCAGAGGGTATTTCATGATGCCCCCCCCCCTTTCGGCGGTGGATGGAAACTCGTCCGTCCTCCTCCTCCTCCTTCCCCTCCTTCCTCCTCCCCCTCCGCCCTGGCTCAAGCTGGCCGCGCTGTCCAGGTCCAGTGAGTTGGGGCCCAAGCTTGGCTCCGCGGGCCCCCAGGAAGCCCCAGTGCAACTGGCGACCTTCTTTCTTTCACTTCTTTCCGCTGCATCCGCCTGCTGCCCATCAGTCTTGTTGCCCCTTGCTGCGGCAGTTCTGGTGAGAGGGCAATGGCGAAGTGAAGAAAGAAAGGTGGAGGGCACAGCCAGCAGCAACATCGCGAGTACTTCGTCTGCAACAATCCGCAGTGCACTGGCTGGGGCTGGTGCGAGCAGAGTCAGTGCTGCAATCGACGCGGCACAAAGTTTCAAGGGCGAGGTAAAGGACGAGATGCTAAGGGGCCAACTCAATCCACAGCCCCGCCTGAAGGTGCAAATCGCTGGAAGGGCGGCAAGCACGCAGCTCGAGGCATTCGGGGGAATGACAAGCAGCAGGGAGTGCCAGACGACGCCGCCAAACCTGACGAGCTAGCATCATCGCCAGCACCATCTACGCCCGACATCGCCACCTACCAGGACCTTGTCCAGTTCTGGAAGGAGCACGAGGGCGTGAGAGGGGCCTACTACGAGGCGGCCGTGCAGCAGCTCAAGGCCGCAAAGCAGACGGTGCTCAAGCAGAAGCCGGTCGACCAGCAGGCGCAGTCGCCGCGCGACCAGATCGAGCGCGCCAAGGAGCGCATTCAGAAAGCCGAGAACGACTCCTCTGAGAATTTTGAGCAGCTCACAGTTTTGGCAGATGAATATGCTGAGCTCCAGTCATCTATCACCACCATGCGGGAGGAGGTGCAACAGATGGAGGCACAGCGCGCAGTTGCAGTTCACTCAGCGGCAGCGGCAGTTCCGCATCCGAACAAGACATCGCCGTTCCCGAAGCTCAACCAGTTCATGGAGCAGTTGGCTGCGGGGCCAGTCTCGGACGTGCCGCTGCGCATCCAGCAGCAAGTCCGCTCGCCTGAGGAGAGCGTCCAGGCGGCAGTCGAGGAGGTGCAGCAAGGCCAAACGGGGGGCCGCGGCATCTACTGCGGGGGCTGGCGCTGGAGACGGCGCGCATCCTGCAGCGCAGGCAGGGCAGCCGCCGCAACCTGCGCAGCCAGCGCTGCAGGAGCCCTCGCAAGCCGCGGCCCCCGCGGCGGGCGAGCCAGGCCACACGGGTGCTCCACCGTCGCCAGTTGTGTTCCCCAAGGTCGGCGAGACTGAGGGCCCGACGCAGACGGAGCCGCCCGCAGCCATGGGCGTCAAGGCCCAGAACACCCAAGCAAGGCAGAAGCGGCTCGCCAGCGAGGCGAATTCGTTGGAGCAGGCGCTGGGGCAGATCCCAATCCAGAACTCCGACTAGGAGGCCAAGAAGGCCAGGGCGGCGCGCTTGCAGGCGAAGTCAGCGGCCAAGGCAAACGGGAAGGGCGCGACGACAGCGACATCGCCGTATGGTGGGTAACGGAGGTCAACTTCGCACCCTCGGCGCCGTCACAATCAACGGCAGTTCCGGGCATCCGTCCAGCAGTATGTACAATCAGAAGAATATGACAAGGCCGTTGTCATCCTTTGCCAATAGGTGAAGCTTGCAGGTGACAGGTTAGTGCAGACAGTTCAATGGTGCGAGAAGCGAGGATGGAAAACCATCTTCTCTGATTGCATTTACTGCGACAGCGGTTATCCGATGAGCGGCACAGGCATCCTGGTGCGCGACGGCTACAACATCGGCATCCAGCCCGCTGATCTTCCTCCATATATTCCAGCCCACAGAGCCATTGCAGCGATTTTGGAGATCCCTGGTCACCATCAGATTGTTTCGTCGCCGCCTACTTCGAGGACTCTGTGGGCCTCAGCAGTGCCGACCTCTACCTTCGCGCTACGGCAGGATGGTGTCAGCAGAAGTACAAGGTGCCCGTCTTCATGGGCGCTGATTCCAACATGAATCTTTCGATGATCACGGCATCAGGCGCATGTGACCGCGCAGGCCTAGAGATGGTGTGTCCAGGCGGGCGCGCAATGTTTCAAGGCAAGGCCAGCAGCAAGCTTGCTTTCTTTCTCGTGAGTTCGTGTCTGAAGAGGTCGGTGCAGTCTACCAAACGCGCTAAAGCAGAATCCTCTTTCCCCCCGTTGTCCTGTTCGATTGGAGTTCGCTTTCGGGGTCAACGCGATGATCCCTGTGTTGCAGACGCCCCAGAAGTTTCCCACCAGGAAACACTGCGGCCCTTCCCTCGAGGCCCTTCCCTGGACTAACACCCAAGCCGCCCTGGAGGTTCTGAAGGCAATTTTGGAGGAGATAGAGGACCCAGCACATCAGCAAGCTGCACTAGATAAGACTTATGAAATCATGGTAGAAGGTTTGGGAACTACGATTAGCAGAGCAACTAATGCGGTTAGCAAACGTCCTGGACATAGATGCGCCCCTCCTAAATTGATCTGGTTCTCAGCTAAGGCAGTCGGGAGTCAGCGCCGAGTGGAATGGGAGTCGTACTGGCGCTCTGTCCGTTGGCTGCTCAATCAGGCGATACAAACCCAAGGCGCCGCTGCCAGGAAGCAGGCCGACGAGCTGCCCGACATCCTTCAGGCGCTTGGAGAGCCGCCTGCCGAGTTTCACTCGGCTGAGGACCTGTCCGTCTTGCTCGACAGGACCCGCGCGTTCGGCGAAAGCCTCCAGTTGGACACCCAAGGTCAGGGTCCAGAAGGTTTCTCGGAACGAGCTCGGGGCATCTTTTCGGAGTTGCATGGCCAGGTGAAGAAGTTTTTGCGCGCGGGGAAAAGCTCTGAGCCTCTGGGGGGCTACTCAATCTTGGAAGCAATGGGTATCGGATAAAATGACCTCGGAAGTTGGTTGGGCATGCCGTTGGACAAAACGCGCCCAGGCCTGGGCGCCAGCCAAAACGAAGACAGCCAGAGGGGATTTCTCAGGTAGCCCCGCGGAGTTGCTCCTACTCGGAGGTCCGACGTTTAACAAAGATATTGGAATGTCAACCGGCCCCTCGTCCAAAGGTCCCTGGAGATCCTCGCGCTGCCCTCCAGCTCCCAGAGGCCACCCCCCAGCATGCTCAAGAGGGCCCTGAAGAAGTCTAGCCGCGCCGCGACGGGGGCGTGGGACGGCGTCCACCCGTGCCACTTCAGGCTGCTGACGAGCGATCAGCATAAGTTGTTTGATCAGGTTCTTCATGTGCGTGGAGCGCGTCGTTTGCATGACACTACAATTTCTTGCAGTGGTATCTACCCTCATCCCAAAACATAAACCTTCAGGGGGCGGTCCGTCTTATCGAGGCACTGGGCTTGTTTCAGCGGTATACAGAGTTTGGGGCCGTATTAGACAGGGTGAAGCAAGAAGCTGGGAGCGCAGGAATAGGCGAGAGTTTTTAGCCCATCAAGCAGGGCGTTACATCTTGGTGTTGGTTTCCCAACAATCTTTGACGGCTGAGTGCGGCTCCGTCCGGCAGGAGGAGCTGCACATTGCGTCAATCATGTGTGATTTAACTAACTACTACG